TTCATTCTATCGTTCTCAAGCTACCATGCAGGGGTAATGCCAGAAATAGATGTGTTCTCTGCACTGCAAAGCCCAAACAGGCAGCTCTGCATTGCCTCAAGCCTTTGGGTGGGTGGTGTTTTACCATGGAACTGAACTGTAAGAAGGACATGGGTTTTGGACTGAACAGCCTGCTGTAGAGTAAAACAAAACATATATGATGGGGCTGATTGTTCCACTGGGCCAGTCTGCATCTACCTCATGCAGGTAGTTCTTGGGTGCTTGCTTTCTCCAAACTGCACATCTGCTTTATCCGTTTGTTGTACGTTTGGCCCCTTACAGCGACAGCATCCGAGCTCATCTCTGCTGCACTGCACAGGGCTCCAGTGGGGCTGGTTGTGCTGGACCCAAAATGGCTCGGCTGTAATGACAGGCAAGGTGCTGGCACAGGGGGGTGTCGTGTGGGGCTGCATGGTGGAAAGGCTCACTGGAGCTTGAAACTGAGGGTATGCAAAAAGAATCCTGATTTGGCTGCTTTCAAAGTGAGAGGGGGAGCCTCTAATTGGAACAGCTCCTGGTAGTTATGGTCAATTGCAAGCAGGGCCCATCTGGTAGACTTGTACAGGGGCAAAAATAACCAATGCTGGAGCCCCAGTGAAGCTTTCCTGAATATGTTGTGTTTCTGTGTGGGTTTCTAGGTGTTCCTCTGACCAGAGGAGGTAAACGGTTCCACCTGCTTTAAGGATTTTCTGTTAGCATCTGAAATTCTGGGCTGCCTTGATCGTTTGCTGCTCCTTGCTGCAATCCAGGCTGCCTGCTGTCAGTGCTCAAGCTCTAGCTGTATCTTCATGACTGCAAAGATCTGCCTTCTCTTTAAATCCCGTTTTTGCCTTCTTTTGCCTTCTGACTGATAGACTCTAATGAGCAGGACTGTGCTGTAGTGCCCTGTGTGGTGAGTGGTCAATAAAAACAAATTGCTTTGAACAGAGAGGTAATAAAGCAGCTTGTGTTTGGCACAGTTGATCCCGATACTGGGGTCCTCAGTTAGGAGCTGAAGACTTTCATGTGTCTTAATAAGAAACGCGGGTCATCCATTCCTTCTCTCCATTCCCATTCATGGAACTAAGAGCACTTTGGGTGACATTGCTTTCTTGTGCCTGTTCTCCCACGTGGAATATTTCTGCTGGGATGGTCGAAACAGTTTATAAGATCACTCCTGTCATCTTATCAGGAAGAGCTGAACAAAATAAACAGGTTTGCAGGGTGGGACTGTTGCAGTGGTGCTAAATGGTGTAGGTCAGGATTGGAATGGAGTGGGTGGCTTAGACCTCATTGCTGCTCCCTCTTGGGATGGTTGTAGTGAGCTTGGCCAGAGATTTCCAGCATCTTCAGTGGCAGGAATTGTTTGCAAAGGGGGTCTCCTGCACAAAGGGTAAACGTAAGGTTTCTGTCCCAGGAGACTGAGCCTCTTCTGCATTCTGCAACCATCTGCAATTTTGAGCCATTGTTGTGGGGTGGCACGGCTCGATGGCAATCTGTCACCCTACAAATGCATCCTCTGCTCTTACAGGGGGTGTGGAAGAGCGTTTGTCAGTGCCTCAGCATGCCTGAAAATGCCTCTCCCATAGAGCTGCTCTGCAGAAGGAATCCTACACCTGGCCCAGCTATTAATGAAGATATTGATCTCCTGGAAGAAGCCCAACTTTTGTGTTTAGGGACTCATCTTGTGTTGGGAAGCGTTGGTCAAACTGGTGGGACTGCAACGAATGGCTGTGGTGAGATGAGAGACGCGGGCAGTGACAGAAGATGACAAGAATTAAAGCTCTAAGCCTGTCTAAATGGTGATTAGAGAGCCGAGATGGTGCAGCGCAGTACAAAATGGCTGCATGGGGAGAAACTGCAGAAACGAACTGGGAATTCATTAGCGTGGCTCAAGGGCTGTGATGCAGAGAGATGAGATGAAACGAAAGCGGAGGAAAACAAGATGTCAGGAGAAGCCTTCTGCCAACGAGACTGGTTTGGCTGCAGACAACCTTCCCCGGAGAAACGGAGGAAGTTCTGTGTTCTTTCAGATAATGAACGGTGGACTGGACAAATCACTGCTAAATGTACTGCAGGGAGCAGTCCCTTATCAGCTGCGAGCTGGACTGAATGCCGGCTCGCTCTCCTTCCATTTGCTTATCTCTGTGTGAAGCACATCGCATGCGTAATTTCTGCTTTAGGGGTTCGTTGTTGTGTGACTGTTAAACCTTGCACGTAGCTGGGGTGAGCGTGGCTGCTGCCTGGGCAGAGCAGGAACGTGCTGCGTTACGGCGAAGCTGCTACCTGTGCTCCCTCATCTGTATTCTGGGTAAGTCGGGTTTTAACTGCTGCTGCTCAAACTCAGCAGAAAGACCTGCCGGCATAAAACCTGCTGGCGTTTACCGGCCCCACGGTGCCTGTGCAGTGCCATGAATCAGAGCAGCGTGAGGGGAGGGCACAGCGCAACCTCTTAGGGCAGTAAAATGAAAGAAAGAGGTGCGAGATGTGCTTGAGAGGGATTTTGGAGCCTCTCTGACCCCTGTGATGCTGCCGGTGGGCGCAGCGGGGTCTGCGCTGCACAAAGCTGCTGCAGCTGTGCTCTTGGTTGTCATTGCACGGAGCCTTTCGCTTTCCGTCCCCGACAAACGCGTGCTGCCTGCTCTCGAGCAGCATTTGAAGGCTGGAGGAGGCGGCTGCTGCGCTGCAGGAGGGCCGGTGTTCTCCCAGGTGCCAGCTGTGATTTGCAGCGTTCCGCCGAGGATCGCCCCGCCGCCTCCTGCTCGGCTTTGTCTCAGCCAGCTGCTCGCTGCACGGGGACACCGAGCCCAGCTGCTGCCTCCTGCAGCCACCCCTCTGTGTTCCCACGTCGGCATCACAATGACAGCCCCGCAGGCTCCAAAGAGAACAGGCTTTAAAAACAACCAACCAAACAAACAAAAACACACACACACAAAACCCACTAGAATTGAGCAGAGAAATTACCAGCGTAGCAAACTGTACCGCTCAGCACATGGGCTGCTGTCACTCCTACAGCCTTTGTAGGGCTGTGCCTATTTCCAGAGCTCCGCCGTGCTTTCCACGTCTGCGTTTCACTTCCTTGGGAGCAGAGCCTGCAGGCTCGGCTGCTGCGCCCGTTTACCCGATGACCTGATTTGCTTTATTTCTGCTGTGTTTTGTCTTAAGCCACGCTATCCAAAATGAATTTATAACAGCGATAGCTGGCGTGGAGAGCTGGCTGGGCTTCGTGCTGCCGTGCTTGGGGTCATGAAGGCTGATTCCTGAGGGCTGTGGGGTCCCACTGGTGCTGCTCCCAGCCCCGTTTCTCTGGGCTCAGACCTGGCCGAGGCACTGCTGCGCTGAGGGCATTTTGCACCCAGCAGCCCAGGACAGGATGGGCAATGTTTGATGCCTGCTGTGGCTGTTACACCAGGAAATTGAACTCATTCTGCTGGAATTTTTTTCACCCTCCCTCTCAAAGCAGCAGCTGTTTGGGGGTTGGCTGTGCCAGTTCAACCACAGCCACGCTGCTGCCTCTGCTTTCCTTTGGCTTTTCTTCTGCCTGACTCAGGATCGTTAAGCATTAACCTTAAAATAGCCACTCTTTTTGCAGTTGATATCATTAATCTCGTGTTTGTGCGTTCCTCCCCCATGCTTTGAGCTCTCCCTGCTGCTGCCCTGTTCCTGGGGCACAAGGAAGCTCTCAGCAAAGCCCAAAGGGAACAGAGCGCTCTGTCCCAGCTCTGCACAGCTCTGCCCACCCGCAGCTCCCGCTGTGTTGGTTTTGGGGCTGCATTCTGCCGCCTCCCAGCAACTGCCACCGGTGCTGTTATTTAAGCAGTGGCAAGGTTCAAGCTAATAATTAGAGAAAGTGGATGGCTTGCACAGTTTCCGATTACTTTTCTCCTCTCCTCGGTGAGATCTAAGCTCTCTATTGAGTTCTCTCAGTGGTGGAGGCAGGGGAGAGTTTTAAATAGAATTCAATCCGTTTCGCATCACTTTTGCGGCTGCAGAGCTCGTGTTGAAATGCCTGATCTGTGCGGGGCAGGTTGGGGCTGTGGGTTGTTCTGTGGTTGCTCCGGGCCGTGCCACGCTCTGCACACACTCAGCACAGCCCTGCTGCAACACGGTCACAGCTCGGCGCACGCAGCCGAAAGGAGAGCATTGCAAAGATGGGCGTTTTGCTGGAAGGAAGGCGATGCGCGGGGCCTTTTGCTGCGGCTTTGGCCACCGAGCTAACGACGCTGTGGCCTGCGTGTGGGTGGCAGGAGGGTCTTTGTCCCAAAAAGCCACCCTGGCGCGGCGCTGCCTGCAGCCCTGCAGACAGGTTTTGCCGTATCCAAGCACAGATCTATGGTTTGTTCCTCCTGGCTGTTGCTACAGGAGCCCAGCGTGCCCGGGCAGCTCCTGCGGGGCCCGCGTTGCAACACGGGCGGGAAAGGAGCCGCGTTTATCTCGTGCATCGGCGCGGCTCACGGCAGTGCGTGCACGCACGGGGAGCTGCGGCGGGGGCATCCGGCCCTGCCTGCTTTTGAGGTGGGGAAAACGGCTCGGCTTTTTGTGCCACGGCCCCGCCGCCGGCCGGGCGCACGGAAGGGATGGAGCTCGGGCTGCATCGCGCGTTGCGCGATGAATGAAGGCAGGCTCCTAGCGGGGATCCCGGCGTGAGAGCGGGCAGCCGGCACCGGGGGGGCCCTTCTGCATCCGGGTGCGTCCCCCCGAGGTCACTCCCACCCCGCACCCCCTCTGCGCTCACACCGCCGCTTCTCTCCCTCCGCATCCTCCGGCCCTGGACGAGCATCCCCCCTCCCACCGCCGCCCTACAAGAGCCCGTTCCCTCCCCTCTCCCTCCCATTGAGCTTCGGCGGCGTCGGGCCGAGCGTTACCGGCCCCCCCCCCCCCCCCCCCCAACCCGCGGAGGGCGGGGAGGGACCGCGGAGGGAGCGCGGAGAGGGGCGGGAGCGGCCGCGCGGAGGCGCAGAGCGGCCCCGCAGCTCCGCAGCCCCGAAGCCCGGCAACAAAGAGCGCAGCGCTCCCCTCCTCCCCGGGATGTAGGGCCCTCCGTGCCCCGCTCCCGGCCCCGCAGCCCTCCATGCCCCCGCGCTGAGCCCGTTCCGCATCGCCATGGGGAAATCCAACAGCAAGTTGAAGCCTGAAGTTGTGGAGGAGCTGACCAGGAAAACGTACTGTGAGTGCATAGCGGGGCCTGACCGCGGTGTGAAGGGGAAGGGGGGGAGGCAGCGCTGCTCTGGATGTGGGGTCGGAGGGATGGATGGGGGGGGGGGGGGGGGGGCGCGCCGGTTGCGCCCCGCGGATGCTCGCGGGGTTGCGGGTACCGCGGCGAGGCCGGCCCCTCCCGCAGCGCGCAGGCTCAGCCCCGGCTTTGTTGCGAGAATTCCTCGCTGAGCCGGGAAGGAGGAGGGAGAAAACATGGAGAGGGACAGGCGGGCAGGCAGGGCAGCGCGGGGCTCTCCCGCGAACGCTGCGCTCCGCGACCTATTGCTCAGCATCCGGGACCGCATCCTGCTCCCTGCTGGCCGCCGTGTTGCCCCGAACCCCCCGGCCCCGCTCCGCAGCCCCGCACGTTCTGACCCCCCCGCCCCAGGCGGCGCTGCCTCCAGGCTCCCGAACTTCGGTGCGTTTCTCGGCGGTTCCTTTGTCGTTTCGCTCCGAGCCCCGCGCCACGGGTGTCTGCTTTAACGTCCTGCTCCCCGAGCCAGCGCCTTTCCCCTCGGATCCCCCCTATAACCTCACTCTCGCAGCCGATGCCCGATCCGCTTTGAGCAAAACGCCTTTAATTTGTTTCTTTTTGAGGGATGTACCGACGAAACAAAGGCTCCGGTGCTCCCAATTCCTCTCCCTGCTCACTCCCCTTTAGCTTTAAGCGGAGAACCGGCTCCGTGCCCCGCCAGACCTGCGAGCGTTCCCGCTGTCATTGCTGCAGTCCCACGGCAGCGCTTACCCAAAAAGGCAATAGATGAGGATGCAGCGAGTTCTCCCATACGGAGAGGAGGCATCGCTGGTGCATTGCACACCCCCGCGCGGGGCTGCTCCTGTCAGTGTGCAGAGGGAGGGGGGCAGGGTGGGGGCACAGCTCAGCTCTGAGAGCAGCGGTGCTGCATTGGGCATTTTGCACCGCTCCGTGCTCGTGTCCGTGCTGGGAAGGTGCTGCCCCGCAGGGCACACGGGCTGCAGGTCCTGCTGCCACCCGTTGTAGTGACTGCACGTCCCCTCTGCTGGATGAGGCCGGCACAGGGTTGTGGCCTCGTGGCTCCATTCCCAACTTTCTGCACCTCCTGGGTGTCCTCCCTTTCCCACTCACCTCCCCAGAAGCCACCTGTCCTCATAGAATAGCCTGGGTTGAAAAGGACCATCGTGATCATCTGATTTCAACCCCCCTGCTATGGGAAGGTTCTCCAACCACCAGACCAGGCTGCCCAGAAGTAGCCTATGAAGCCTCCTCCGAGGTGCACTGCACGTGTCCCCAAGCAGGACAGCACATGGCTGTGCTTCACACAGCGTCCCAACACCCCCCAGCAGTGCATGGTGCCATCAGCTGCAGCCATCCCTAAAGCCAGGCTCAGTTTGTTGAGCTCATTCCACTGCTCGTGTCTGGATGGAATTACTTCTGCCGAGTGCTTCTTCACTTGGTCAGCTGTAGGCAGGGAGCTGATGGTGGGGAAATGCTTTTGTCCCAGGGATGTGCCCATGGTGTTGAGAGCTGTGGCAGCAGTACAGTCAGGATTTCTCCCCTAGTGGGATTTCCTTCTGTTGCATCATCTTCTGTTTGCCCGAGCTGTGCTGACCCATCTCCAGGTGCCCACACACCAGTGCTATGGGGGGAACCAGGGAGGGCTCAGCCCTCCTGGCAGCCCAAGTCCCATCCATGGGAGGAGCCAGCGTCGAATAATAATTAATAATAAATTATGTAATTCTTTGTGCTTCCGCGGAGCCTTTCATCCAAAAGATCTTGAAGTGCTTCATCGTCATGGCGGTGGCTCTCAGTGCTGCACTGAGTGTCCCAGGAGGTGTTGGTGGGGCTCCAGGAGCCACTGTCCTATCAGGAATCATAGAATCATGGAATCATAGAATGGCCTGGGTTGAAAAGAACCACAGTGATCATCTGGTTTCAACCCTACTGCTGTGTGCAGGGTCACCAACCAGCAGACCAGGCTGCCCAGCGCCACATCCAGCCTGGCCTTGAATGCCTCCAGGGATGGGGCATCCAGGGATGTGGGTGTGTGGTTGGTCTGCTCACAGCATGGGGGTTAGGAGTGGGGTTTGGGAATGCAGGGAGTTGAATTTGTGTGGCTGAGGTCAAAAGGTTCTGCTGTGAAGGTCTTGGGATGCAGGGAAAGTCATGTCCAAGTACTGAATGCAAGTGGATGAGAGATGATGGCCTTAGGTTGTGGCAGTGAAGGTTCAGGCTGGGTGTTGGGAAACATTTCTCTGAAAGAGCTGCACTGGCACAGCTGCCCAGGGAGCGATGGGATCACCGTCCTGGAGGTGTTCCAGACCCATGGAGATGTGACACTGAGGGATGGTGGGATGGGTTGGGGTTGGAGGTCTTCCCCAAACTTAATGTTTCTCTGGTGCAAAGCACTTGTGTGCAATTGTGGATGCTGCCATGGGCTGCAGCACTTGTGTCCCAGGGACCCTCCGTGTCCACTCACTGCTCTCTCTTTAGTGGACTTTCGACTCACTCCTGCATTGTCACTTTCTGCTCTTCTACAGCGAGCCACAAAATTGGCTCTGCTGCGTGCCAGTAATGCCTTGAATTAACGGGCATTAGATTCAGAGCAACCTACAAACAGATCGATTTGGAGTTACGGGGTGTGCAGCGGCTGGCTGAATTCTGTGGGAAAAGAGTGAAAATCCTCCAATTTTCAGGCATAGCTCCTCACTGCCCGTGCCCTGGCTCTGCTCTGCCAAGTGTTGGGGTGTCAGCCCCACCCCCAGCCCCGTGTCCATGGGGGGACGGTGGCTGGTGGCACCTCGGGCCCCTCTGCAATGGCGTTGGGAGCATCACATTTCACAGATCCCCCGACACGTTAATGGATTTGCTTAACCACTGTGCTGACCTTTGCTGCTGCTGTTATAATTAAGGCTGTGAAACAAGAGGCTGCGACAGCATCAAAGGAAGCGGCTGCTCCGGGGAGGGATGCTTTGCGCTCCTTCTGTTCTCAGGGCGATGCTCGTGGGCTCACGTTGTGCCTCCCTGCCTTCCTCAGAGCCAGGGTTACAACCTGTATCCCACACAGCCCCCCGACAGCCCCCCATGGCTCCTCAGTGCGTGGTGCTGTGGGCTCCCTGTGCTGGGGATGGAGCTGACGGTAGCACCATTCATTCATCCCCATACACGAGGACCATCCTCAGCCCTTCCTCTGCTGCTTTTGCCCCGAACCCAATTTCCAAAGCTTTACATCAGCCCCTTAAATATTTCATAAGATCTAAAAAGGATTTTAACTGCGTGTTGGTTTTCCCATCCTCGCTGTGGCCCTGCTCAGCCTGCAGCCAGCAGAGCCTGATGGCAGCTGCTGTGAGCAGTGCCAGGCACACACAGTTCTCTCTGCACTTCCCACATGACAGCGCTGTGCCCCCAGTGTCCCCGAGGATCCCAGTGCCTGCAGTGTGCATCCATGGGGAGAGGAGCAGCCCGGCCTCAGAGCTGCCAAGGCTTGGGATGGGGATGTCTCTGGGCCTTTGGCTGTGGGATGTGGCGGTGCACCTTCTGATGTGTGTCAGCCCTTTGGCTCTGGGATGCTGTGGGATGGGTGCCCACTGGGACTGGGTGCTGCTGGGGTAGTGGGGTGGAAATAGGGGTACACAGGATTTGGATTGGCAGAAGCCCCACTTTCTGGGACAGCCACGGATGTGTCCATGGGGGTAGCTGCTCCATGGGGACCCGCAGCCGCTTTCCCTGCACCACAGTGGAGAGGGTTTCCAGAGCAGCCTGATCCCTGGGCCGAGCCCGAGCCCAGGGGGCAGCAAGACAGCGAGCTCTGCAATGTGTAACCAGGCCATTGGTTACATATTTAATCCAAAATTGTAATGAAAACGAGCCATCAGGGCCAAGCAACCCACATTTCAAAGCGCTGACATGGGGCAGATGGAAGGACTGCCGTCACTCTGCGATGTCCCCAGGCACCAGCCTGCAGGCCCTGGTGGTGACCCCATAGCCCCATCTATAGGGCTGCGCTTGGGCTGGGGGAGCTCTGCTGTGACCTTCCTGATTCCATGCATAGCAGGAAATGCAGATCTGGGCACGGGCAGAGATCCCTGCTGGTGCCACTGCCTGCTCCGTCACCGATGCGCACGAACGCCGCGATGATGTTGGGAGTGGAGTTCATAGCAGATTTATCCTCAGCCAATTCTTGACGGCGTGTTTCACCACGGTGAGGGGTGGAGCGTTGGGCACAAATTGCAGGGTGTGCTGCAGCTCCAGATTGCTGTGCGCATCACAGCCCGATCCGTTCATGCATGAGCACCCCGCAGAGATCCGCATCAGCACCCGATGGGCTCACGCATGAGAGCCCAATTAGCACACGCGGCAGTGCGCAATTAACGCACGTCCGAGCGCCCGGTTGCGTTCTGCCCATTGGGCTCATTTGTGGTTACTGCTGCCCCTGGTTCCCATTCGTTTCCACATGAGCACCTGAGCCACTCACCTGAGCGCCCAATTGGTGTGTGCACAAGAGTGTGATCTGCTAATTACACTCATTTACTCCTCGGGGCTCAATAAGGCCTTGCACAAGCGCCCAATAAATGCACGAGAACCAATAGCATCATGCAGGAGCACCCATGGAGTCGGCACGGCCTCACCAGCATGCTTTGTGCATGAGTGCCCCGTGCCCCACGTGCAGTCCGTCCCCCCGTTGGCTTTTGCACGAGTGCCCATCCAGCACAGTTACTGCCAGTGTGAGAGCCCCATCACGTGTGTGGAGCTGCCACTTTGCTCACACGTGCACGTGAGCTGCGTGCGTGCTCAGTGTGCAATCTGGGTGCTGTGCTGAGCATCCAGCGGAGGTGAAGGCAGCTTGTCGGTCATCTGGAAGCTGAGTGCCGCCTGTGGCTGGAAATAATTAACTCTGCTTTCCTGCTCTGGCAGCAGTGACCCCACTGGGCTCGGGGAGCAGCAGGAGAGGAGAGAAAGGGTCTGTAAGGTGTTGGGGTCTGGATCCTTGCACCTTCTCTTGCATCCCTGTAGTGCTCCATCCCCATTCCTGCCATGGTCCCACCGCGTGGGTATGGCGCGTCCTCGCTGCCCTCACAGTCCTGCAATCACCAATTAATGGCTGGAGCACTGATTAACCAGAGCTGTTCTTGCTGCAGCAGCAGCTGGGTGGTGGGAAGGGAGGGGGCACACAGGGTGGGTGGTGACAGCGCTGTCAGCTGCTGCGTGTGCCATGGGGAGGAGCGGGCAGAGGGGAGGGGGGTTCTGCTGGGTGGGAGGCAGGGCTGGGGGGCTGCGGTGGGTGCTGAGATGGGATGGAGCCATCAATGGGAGCTGAGATGGCACGGAGCCGTTGGGTATGGAGGTGGGGTGGGATGATGGATGTGGAGATGGGATGGTGCCATGAGCACCACGAAGGGGCAGCAGCACTGAAGCTGCCGTACAGCACTGTGCCTCCAGGAGTGCGGCTGCAGCGCTGGGGCAGTGCCTCTCCCAGCATTACGGTTCATCACAAATGCCAGCAGTGAGCCTTTACTTGGTGCCTTGCATCCCACAGGATCCCGGGGCACGCCGCATCCATTAAGACTGCTTCATGCACTATTTTTCGGTGCTCCATGGGGAGCACCACCCCGGGGCTGTGCTCTGGGTGCTGCAGAGCGGGTTGCTGCTCCACCGGGATGCGCTGCGGGTAATCCCTCGTCCTTGAGCGCCCGGGGTCAAGCCTGCCGTGCTGGATGGCTGCAAATTGATTTGCATCAGCTCAGCATCGCGCCGAGATCGATGCCGGCGGGAGGGAATGAATGCAGCAGTCGGCATGCAGACACTGCGTGTGCTGGGCTGTGTGCAGGGAGCTGCTCAGCACCCCGACGTGCTGAGGATGGAGCGCCCAGGCTGGGAGCACGGCGTGTCCCCACGTTGCACAGCCATAGATCCCACAGCAAGGATGGTGGTCGCATTCTCCATCGGTGCCATGCAGAGCATCGCACCCAGAGGGCTGCCCGGCTCTGTCGCCGCAGGTGTAAAGCTCAGAGCGAGGGGGTCCTGCCCTGCAGGATGCAGAAGGCTCCCGGTCGGTGCCTGCAGGCAGTGCCCCGGGCTGGTGGTGCCCTGTGTGTGCCAGGGAGCCGACTCTGTGCGTGTCGTTAGCAGCGTTTCTCCTGTACTAAAAAAAGCACGGATTTAATTGTTTCCTGCTGGAGTTGAAAGGCAGCTCCCGGCACCGAAATAGCGCAGAGGGGGAAGCACAGCCCAGAGCTGCACCAGGTCCTCCTCCTCCTCCTCCCCCTGCTGCCCGCAGCAGCACCTGGCAGGCCGGTACCTGCGATCCCCTCCATGACCCCCAAAATGTCCTCATAATCCACCTCGTGCCACAGCTACAGCCCCCCGTGCCCCCAGTCTGCTGCTGAGCTTCCCCACGCCCTTCTCTGTGTGCTGCCCACACAGCCCCCAGCCGACCCACTGCTGTGACATTGCAGCCCCCCTCCTCTCCCTTCTCCAGACCCCCTGCAGCCCCCCAGCCGCTCTGTGCCTTTTGCCAGGCGCGCTGCAAATCCCTCTGATGGAAACCCGTTTTCTTTTATTTGCCTTCCGAGGTAATTGGCATCTCTTGGTGTGCTGGGCTCTCTATTTTTATCAGCTGTTTGCACATTGACACATCCCCGCTCCGCCTCGTTATCCCGGCGCGTTTCAGCCCTCTTGCTTTTCTATTATTACTATTTGGATGCACGAGGCGAGGGAAATGACAGTCGGGGTGCTGGCAGCAGGTTCCCTGCTCACGTGCTCCCACGGGGGATATGATGGGATTCTCCATGCCCACGCTGTGCCGCAGCCATGCCCACATCTCACTCCATCCCACGTGCTCTGCACGGTTTGGGCGCTGGCAGGACAACGGCCCCTTTGCCCACGGCATCCCAGCAGGCATGGGGAGAGCCCAGGAAGGTGCTTGCAGGCCTGGAACTCATTTCTGGGGTGAGCAGAGCATCACTCAGCATTGCGAAAGCACTCCATTCCTATTTTTATTTATTTTGACCTCTTTTTTTTTCTTTTTTTTTTTTTTTTTTTCTTTTTTTCTTTTCTTGCAGTTACAGAGAAGGAGGTGCAGCAGTGGTGAGTAGCAGCGTGGCGGTGAGATGCTGGGGGTGCTGGGGGACCCCTCCTGCTTGGAGCTCAGTGCAGGGGCAGGCAGACCTTGGGGTGCATGCAGTTCATAGGGGAGGACAGCAGCACACGGGGATTTTGGCTCCTCACATCGCATGCACACCGCTCCCTCTGTCTTTGGCTCTGTGCAGTGGTGGCTGCCTTTTCTCCTGCTTAGTCCCCGTGGGGATGCTGGGGCTCTCTGATGTGTACCCCAGTGCAGCCCTGAGGGGGCACAGAGTCTCATGGACAGGGACACCAGGGGCATGGAGGCAGGGCCGCCTCGCGGCAGCGGCTCTCACCCCATCCCCTCCAGCTGCCAAAACGTGCCACCCTAAAAAAGCCACCGTTTCCCTTTCATCTCCCCATCAATCCAGTCAAGGTTTTCTTTCTTTATCGCTTTCTCTCATCCTTCTCCCCCCTCCTGATGAGTCATAGCTGCAGCAGCACGAAGATGTCACCGGCTCTTCACTTTCCCACCTCGCCACCCCCTTCCCCTCCTCCCCCAGCCCTCGGCCCGCTGACAGATCTGGGTGAGGGGTTGTGTAATGTGCTGCACGCGGCGGGGTCCCAGCGAGGTCCGCGCACTGTCCTCACACTCACGGAGCTGCCTGAGCCCTTCCCTGCATCCTGTCAGCGTTGGAGGCGTTGCACCTCCTTGTGGCAATGCTTTGTGGTTCTGTCTTTGGCCATGCTGTCTCAGGAGGTGTAGAAGCTTTGCTACCCCCCCAGTTCCTACGAGGAGTTTGCAGATGTGCTCATGCACAAAAGCCCCTGTGCTGCCTCAGCTTACCTGGCTGCAAAGCTGACATCCCAGGGCACTGTGATTACTTTTTGCTGTGGCTTGGCTGCAGCACATGAGCATGAAGCATCAGGCTGTGCTGGCTGGGAACTGCTGTGCTGGGCTCTCATTCCTGTCCCCATCAAAATCCTCATCCTCATCCCCATATCCGTCCTCATCTCATCCTCATCTCCATTCTCAACCTTACCCTCATCCTCAATATCATCCCCATCCCCATTCCCATCCTCATCTTCACCCCCAATACCATCCCCGTCCCCTCTCCCATCCTTTTGCCCGTCTCTATCTCATCCCCATCCTCATTTACATCCCACTCCATCTCCGTCCCCATCCTCAACCTCATTGTCATCCTCATCCCCATCACCATTCCCATCCCCTTTCCCATCCTCATGCCCATCCCCATCCCACCCCTGTCCCCATTCCCCTGCTCAGCGCTCAACATGGATGTGGCCATGGCACGGTTCCCCATTCTGGGCAGTACTGGGGTTGGCCACCGCTTGGTGTCACTGGTGCCACTTGGTGCCCACTGGGTCCTGGGTCCTAATATTGATGGAATCCTAACCATACTGCTCCCTCCCCAGGTACAAGGGCTTTATCAAGGACTGCCCCAGTGGGCAGCTCGATGCTGCCGGCTTCCAAAAGATCTACAAGCAGTTCTTCCCCTTTGGTGACCCAACCAAATTCGCCACCTTCGTGTTCAATGTCTTTGATGAGAACAAGGCAAGTCAGCACGCTGCAGGCAGGGTGCATGGCCATGGGGCTGCGGTGGGGCACGGTGGGTGCAGTGATGCCCCTTGTGTCCCATTCACTCCCTGGCTGCTCTCACTCCTCTGTTCCCCCCCAGGACGGGAGGATTGAGTTCTCAGAGTTCATCCAGGCGCTGTCTGTCACCTCCCGAGGGACACTGGATGAGAAGCTGAGGTGTAAGTGTTGCCCGTGGGCACCCTGCTTTGGGGTGGCTGTGTGGGGTGCGTGGGGCACAGTGACCATCTGGTTGTGGCCATGGGAACGGAGCCCCAACATCTCCACGTGGCTCTTGGCAGGGGCGTTTAAGCTGTACGATTTGGACAACGACGGCTACATCACGAGGAACGAGATGCTGGACATTGTGGACGCCATCTACCAGATGGTGGTAAGCTCTGGGGGTGGGACAGAGTGCAAGTCCCCACCTGGGGGCACCGTCCCCATGTCCACCCATGACTGTGTGCCGTCCTGCTGCCATAGGGAAACACTGTGGAGCTTCCCGAGGAGGAAAACACACCAGAGAAGAGGGTGGATCGGATTTTTGCCATGATGGACAAGGTGAGGGCGGTGCGGTCATACAGGGGTTGTTTTCCTAGGGGTTGGGGGGCAGTTCTGGGTCCTCACTGCATCTCTGCTCCTTCCCCTCCGCCACCCATCGGGGATCTCAGTTCCACACTACAGCCCCAGGGATGCGCCAGGCACTCAGTGCCCTGCTGCTGTGTGCATGGGGGGCTGTGTGGGGCTGTGCAGGGCGTTGGGTCTGTGTCTCAACACCACTGTCACGTTTTGCAGAACGCAGATGGGAAGCTGACGCTACAGGAGTTCCAGGAGGGCTCCAAGGCCGACCCCTCTATTGTGCAAGCCCTCTCCCTCTACGATGGGCTTGTATAGTCCCAGGGCCGAGCGGCGGTGAGTCCTGTGGGGGGTGGTCTGCTGTACCCATCCCACTCATCCAGTGCTATCCCCACTTTGGTTTTCCCTCTGTGCTGAGCATCAGAGCATGGGCAGTCCCCCAGGGGAGTGGGGAGGGGATGCTTTCCCCCATCCCCATGGGTTTTTCCCTGTGTGTCCCCATCCCGCAGCACATCCCCAGGCTCTGCAGTGCCATAAAACAATAAAAGCTGCCAGGTGGCAGCAGGGCCTGCGGCACCGTGCTGCAGGAACTGCAGAGCAGGCACAGATTCAGCTGGCGATACGGGGCATGGGGATGCTCCAGGGTGACACGATGTTAAATGTTCCCTTTATGTTCTGGCTCATTATCACGCACCCAGCAGCTGGCAGCACGGGGGGGGGGGGGGCTGTGGCCCACCATGCGAGTCCTCACACGGATTCCCTTTCCTCCTTCCTCTCCCACAGCTTATGGGGAAGACGCTCTCTGTGCCATCCGACCACGCAGCGATGCTTGCCTGCCCCTCTCCGGCCCTCCTCCATGTCCCACGAGCCAAGGATGCAGCGCAGCGCCAGCTCACGCCCCTCTCTGCTCTCCGAACCAACGCCGGTGCCATTTGCCAACTTCTGCTTTTTTCCAACAAAAAACAAAAACCACCCAAAAAAGACCATGGTCTGAGCAACAGCAAACACCCAAAACTTGGGGGCTGAGGGAACGGCACCGAAGGCAGAGCCCCCCCTGGCCCCGAGCCCCTCTGCTCCTCATTCCTACAGTCTGGGGTCGGACTGCGGATGCGCCTCTCCGGGATGCAGCTGGGGATGGAGCCCACAGGGGCTATAGGGATATATATATATATTATTAATATTATTAATATTATTAATATTATTATTATTATTTTGGTGAAACAGTATTGTGCTTTTTTTTTTTTTTTTTTTTTTTTTTTTTTTGTCCATTCAGTGGAAAGAAGGGAGGCTTTTTTTCACACGTCTGCCGACGACGGATACCTTTATTTATTTGTTGTAACCATTGCTGCCGTTTTGTCTGCCATGTGTGTGTCCCACACCTCACTGATGGCATCTGTCCCGTTTACATCCCCACACATGACTGCAGGGCACCAGGAGCCTGCAATAACCAAGCCAAAAAATCCCCTCCACCCGCTGTTTGCCGTGCACTGGAAGGGACTCTGCACTTCTTTTACTTCTTTCCCTCTCCCCGTAGCCCCGTTCCTGCATTTTTCTCTCTCTCTTTCCCCTCTCCTGCCCAACCAGGGTTGCTCAGCCCCATCCCTCCTCTCTGTTTCCATTCCTTTCCCCAGCCTCTCTCCCCATCTGGCAAGACGAGGAGGCAGCCGGTGCTGGAGCATTCTCCTTTGTGGCTTTTCATTTTCTTACTGCATGAAAAGTATTAATGGAGCTGAGCGTTGGGTTTTGCTTTCAAGCCAATTCCCTTGTTGGTGTTTTTGGGAAAGGTGGGAAGGTGCATTTCCTCCATTGGCAGAGCAGGGGCAGCCGTGCAGGGCAGTGGGTTGGGGGTCGCCCCATTGCTTCCTATTGAGGACGTGGGAAGTTGTGCTGGAAACCAAGAGCAGAGCCAGTGTGCACCCACACTCCTCCCTGCAGGAAGGTGAAGGGCTGGAAGAGGGCACCCACCTGCATGGGACACCTCACAGCATCAGATGCCATCCCTGCTGGTTCCATCCACTGCTGAAGAAGGAGAGATCTGGGAGCAGTGTGCAACGTGCTCCTGTCCTGCTGCATTTTGCTCCTGGCCCAGCAGTATCCCCACCCCCTTCGTCCATCCCAGGCACTGCTGACGATGGCAGCAGTTGGTGCTCATCACACAGCTCTCAGCCACAGAGATGTCCCCAGGAGGTGACAGCTGGACACACAGGATGTTCTGAGGGATGCTCCCACCGCTCACAAGACGGCAGCAGTGTCCCTATGGGGCTGAATCTTACATTCACATGTCACGATGACCTGGAGCTGTGGGGCTGTGGATGCTTTCTCTGCCCTGCTGACATTTGGGATCCTGCACCTTTGGGAAGCCAGCACTTTGTGATGCTTTCACACGCCTTTATTGAGACACTTCTCCCCGTCCCCAAAGAGACATCATGTCTGCTGCCACCAGGAGCCCGCCGGGACGGTTCTGCCCCAGTGTCTCAGTGCTGGGTGTCCCAGAAGGCATCACTCTCTCCTTCCCCCCAAAACCTCCCTTCTCGATGCTTTGTGGCCAAAACACGTCTCTGTTGGGTAGATCTTTGCAGTGACTCAAACTCCACCACCTCCCATCTGCTGGATGGGTGCCCTCCTGGTGCCAGGCATTGCTCTGATGGCACCGCTGGAGCTGCACTGGGACGCCCCGTTAGAAGTAACACCAGACAGATACAGATGTTTGCTCTGCCACTTTGGCCTGGAAGGCTTTGGGGTTCTTTTCTCCTTGTACATTTCTTCCCATGGGGCTCCTGCCTTGGGCGCACCGAGGAGCCTCATATCCTCCATCAGCATTGCTGAGACCCACAGCTCCTGGTGCCAATGGAAGTATGGCTTGAAGCTTCTCACGCTTGGGAATGTCAGCCTTCACCTCCTCGTGCCTCAGTTTCCCCATCGGTGACCGCAGTCTTCTCCCACCATTTGTCCATCAGTGTTGCCTGGTTATAAGCAGTGTCTGTATTTCCTTTCCATTCTCTGTTCACGTGCTGTTGCTGCCCTGCAGCTGCCATTCCCTGGGTCCCTCGGTTCCTTTTGGGGTCAGAGTTCCCCCAGGGGAGGCAGTGCTGCAGGAACCCCGGGCTGAGGAGCAGCAGAGCTGCATTCATGGAGGTGAAGCTGTCTGTGCTCCTGTGCCGGTGTCTCAGCTTGCATGCCCCGCTGCCTTGTCTTGAGATGAATCCAAGAGCAAACCAAGCAAACCGACCCGTTTAAGAACGGAACAAACAAACAAATAGAAACAAACCCAGGAACTTTGTGGCGGTGGAAATAAAAGCTTCATGATGGTACCGAAGTGGTCTGTGATGTGCTATGGGGTTTGGGGCTGTCAGCATCCAATGCTGTGTGCCCTGGGCAGGGGCTGTAAGGGACAGCAAATGGGGAACGTGGGAATACCCTGCTGCTGGCTTCTGGGGCTGGGAGCAGTGCTCAGATAATGTGAAGGTTTGTACGTATGTAATGGATATACCCAGACCTCATTTAAGGGTTGGCAGTAGAGGTAAGGGGATCTTGTTGGAGATCCCTGCATTCCTGAGGGCTTCTGATGGTAAGCAGCTTCTTTCCTTTATTTCTGTGCCTATGGCTGTTGAATTTGAGCAAATCTTCCCTTGCTGTAGTCTGGGACCTTGCAGCTCTGCTGTCATTGCTGCACTTTGCCAGGAGAGGGTGAGGATGGGCACAGGTTCCAAACGATGGGGTTGGATGTGGGCCACCCAGAGGTGCTGCTGGGTGGGAGCACCTCCAGTGAGGAAGGGGTTAAGCCCAGTTTCACACAGGTGCTGCCAGGACCAGGAACACTGGGGGGGGGGGATGGGGAGAAGCTGTGTGTAGAACTGGTCCCCTGGCTGTGTGCCCTGGGTCACAGCATCACCTGGAGCCCATCCTCACCTCTGGACCCTCCCCATCCTGCTCGTTCCTGCAATCCCTTCCCAGGGAGGCACTGTTTGCTTGGCCCACCTTATCCTGGCTGGGGCAGATGGTTTTTGGGTTCTGCTGTTTTTGTTTTTCAGAGGTTTCTGGGTGTCAGGGTTTGTTTTTTTTTTTTTTCCAAAAACTGATATCCCCTATGGGAAGGAGTTACCATTTTCCAGCCAGCTGTAATTATGAGAACAGCATCCCATAATGGAAACATTTAGGTCACCTTCACAGAAAACAGTGCTACCTAATAAGGCTGTGTCTGGCCAACCTGGCTGACCGTGCCCCTAGGATGCGATGCTCAGCCAGCTCTGCTCTATGCCACGTGCAGGAGTGGCTGGGAAGTCCATGCTGTTGGTTCCACATGGAGCCAGCACAGTGTCTGGTGGAGCTGCAGGAGGTGTGAGCAGCAGGGAGCATCAACTGCAGAGCACAGCAAGCACTGCAGGGCAGCTGAAGCTGCCTCTGAGTCTGAGCAAGCCACAGTCTTATGGACACAAGGCCCAGCTGGAACCAGAATTTTGCAGCCCTGGATGTTTTGGAAGGGATGCTGCCAGCTTACATCCTTCTCATGCCCTGCTCACTGGGGTGGGATCTCCCAGCTGTAGCCCTCTTGATGGCAGGCTCTGCACCTGCCTTGTCTCCAGCCAGGCAGGATGTAGCTGAAATGCTATCAGGGCTTGAAGTCAGTGATTGAGCACCTGGTGGGAAGCAGGGCCAACCCAGTGCAGCTCAGGTGTATGCAATGCCCTGAGTGACCACAAGGGCTGGAGCCAGGATCCACCCCTGCCCAGACCTCATTTAAGGGTTGGCAGTAGAGGTAAGGGGATCTTGTTGGAGATCCCTGCATTCCTGAGGGCTTCTGATGGTAAGCAGCTTCTTTCCTTTATTTCTGTGCCTATGGCTGTTGAATTTGAGCAAATCTTCCCTTGCTGTAGTCTGGGACCTTGCAGCTCTGCTGTCATTGCTGCACTTTCCATCACATTACACAGGGCTGGCAGACTGCAGCTCGGTCCTGCAGATCCTGGGTGCAGAGGAGACAGAGATCTGGGGGGAGAACAGTACAGGTTACGCACTCACTAATCTTCCCAGAGTGTGTTGTGTTTTTCATCCTTATTTCCAACCTGAGCAGGGACTACTCAGGCACCAGTTTTGCTTGCACCTGTCACACTCTGCACTTCCAAGCTGAGTTGGCCCTTGGGTGGGTGAGGTAATGACAGAGCAAGGAGGCACTGTTCCAAAACCATTCCCAGAGCTGTGCAGAGACCTGCAGGAGGCTGAGCTCTTCTGGGTGCTGCTTGCAGTGTTTCCCTGCTGATGTGTAGCCACTGTCTGCTGTGGTGGTGGTGATGGTCAGCTGCAGTGCAGTGCTGTCCTGTGGGGCTGTTGGGTGCCTCTACCAGTGGTCACCTGGCAGAAGGACAACGTGGGCATCAGAAGAGGAGAGCAGGAGCCTGAGGTCTGTGGGTGGGCTGGGTGGCTGAGCAGCCTGGCACCACTCTGTGTGTGGCTGCACCAAAGCACCTGCAGGAGTGGAGGTGCTCCAGGCTCTGTGCTGTGTGCAATGGCCTCTGCAGCTGTGCCATGAGATTCTCTAGGAAGGTACAACTGTGCAGGCAGAGCAGTTCCTGTATCCCAGCACAGCTGCTCTGTTCTCTTCTCTGTTTTGTTTCTGCTCGTCCCCAGAGGGCCTGGGCTCAGTGTGCTCCCCAGTGGGTAGCTGCACCTCCTCTGGGTCTCCACAGAGGATGCTGGCTGTGCATGGTCCTTGCTGCCACAGGGAGGACCAGGCTGATCATCCAAGGTGAGGCTGCAGTTCTTGCTCCCTGTGCACACCTCCTGTCTCAGCCTGCTCCCTCCTGACAAGGAGCAGCAATGTGGTTGCCAGGGTTCCACACAGGCACTCAGTTCTCTCCTGACTGCCACTGAGAGCAG